AGCGTACTGCCACAAAGCCAGAACACGTGATCCAGCAAGTACCTACGGAAGCTGCTGGCTTCGGGAACAGAGAAACTCGGGTAAGGTCAGTCCGTGAATCGAAGAAGACGCCGCCTCCTACATCCCAATAAGCAAAAAAATCACACACTACGTATTCCCGCCCCCCCGGCAGTGGGGGAACACCATCAGGACGAAGAGGGTTGACACACATCGCTCTTATTTCGTACGTGCTGGCACCTCCCGAGACCAGGAGCGTTTCTTCCTTAAAGGGGGAAACCGAGAGCCGTAACCCAGACGTTTTAAACCTTCCGGATGCCTCACAGATAAAACTCTGCTTAAGCTTCGGACGTCCCTTCCCCGTTCTCGTGCGGCTGCAGCTGTTCTCTCTCTTGTTCTTCCTGGGGGGGTCTCACACGTTTGAAAAAGCCCATCTGTGGTTTGGAGGACAATAAAAGAAACGGCATTGGGATTTTCAGCGCACAGATGCGGTTTTTTTTCCACTCTCCTGATCAGATCTTAACCGCTCAGTCACTTGATTCCCTCCGCTACTCTTCTTCCTTACTTTGGAGCTCCAGAGCCAATAAATATCAGCTGAAAACTTAATTTGGCACCACCACACATGTCCTTTTACTCAACTTCTTCCCGACAAAGCTGGCAAGTTTTTACCCAAAGACCAACCAAAATATTCCTGCGGTTACGACTCGAAAAAATACCTCAAAATTAGGGAAACCCACACAAATCGCCCCCCAACGCCATCCTTACCCTGTACATAACGAACACGAGAACGGCCAAGAGCAGCAGTCCCGCCAGGACGGCCAGAATGATGACCCACACGGGCACAGGCATGGGCTGAGGTTGGATGCCCCACGTAATGTTGGTAGTCACCTAACGGAAAACACAGCGAGTCAGGCGTCGCTCGGCCGGCACCCGCCCGGCTCAGGCGCTTCAAGTCCTAAATATCCCGCTTCGACGGTGCGGAAAGTCATCTGAAGCCACCATCCAGCACCTTTTCTCTCCTGTGGGAGCCAACAGCTGCGGATTCGTAGTGACATCAAGGCTTCGCTGCCCCCAATACAGTAAGGTTTTCAAAGGAAATGAAAACAGCGGTTTGGGGGTTTGGTTTGGGGTTTTTTTGGTTTGGTTTGGGTTTTTTTCTTTGTTTTGGTTTGGTTTTGGGGGTGGGCAGGGTTTGGGTTTGGGGTTTTTTTGCAGGCAGTGACACCGTGGTAACACGTGTTCGGTAACGCTTGATCATTTTCAGTAGGACTGTAGGAATCGGGAAATGTTTGGGAATTAGAGAAAAAGAATTCAGGCCTTTTCCTCTTTGGTTTGTTTGTTGGGTTTGGGTTTGTTTGTTTGCTTGGGTTTTTTTGTGGGTTTGTTTGTTTGGGGTTTTTTGTATGTGTTTTTTTGTCCCAAACCACAAACCCCGGGGTTTTTTAGGGTTTTCTTCTGTGGTTTTGGGTTTTTGTTTGTTTTCCTTAGAGGGCAGTATTCCTTAAAACATAAAAATCAACTCCACAAAGCTTTGGAGAGAAAAAAACCAGTTAATAATACGCATTAGAAACCATATTAAAAAAAAAAACCCAAACCACAAACCTTTCGAAGCCCTTTCTTAGGACCAAACTTTTACTTTGGGCAGCCCAACCAAATGGCCTTTCCCCTCCTTCCTGCTCGCACCCCGACTCCTTTTCCCCCCGACACCCTCTAGGGCACGGCCGGCCGTCTTCTTCCACATCCACATCGTCCCGCATCCCGTGTAATAACGGCCCGTTATTCAAGCCCAAAGTGCTACCACAGCAGGAGAACATGCTCAAGTAATTTCTCCAACAAGAACGACCTTAACAAGAACATTAAGGCCTGTCCTTTTTTTTTTTTTCTGTTTTCAGTTAAGTCTTAAAAGCTCCAAATATTGTTAACTCGAGTTTTAGGTCAAAAAAAAACCCCTTGGTTTACCCTCAATTGTATGTGTAGAACTGAAATATGTGAATCAGATGTTTGATAAAATTACAGGTACATCGAGACACGAAAAAGCTACTTGACAATCAGTGGTTTTGTGTTAATTTTGAAGTAATTCTGTGCAGTAACAAGCTGGCTGTAAACGACTTACTACTGTAGAATTGTGGATGTCTTCAAAGGAAAGG